GCCCCATCAGAATAACTCTTGTCTATACTTCTGAAACAACTGGTTTATTTTTTCAAAGGCACTTATCAAACAGATGATAATGATGAAGATAGATACAGATATAGATACTACAGATAGAGGTTTTGTTGAGGGTTGTTTTTTTTGTTTTTCGTTTTTCTTTTGGTTTGTTTTTTTGTTTTTTGGGGTTTTTTTTTTGCCTTGGAACTCTAACTTATTTTCAGTTTTAACATACTATACCTAGCACAGCACATAGAAGAAACTCTAACAATATTGGCTGAATGAATTAGTGAGGCTCAGTTAACCCAGTATAATTAAACCCCACTTCTCACAATTTATCTACTGTATGATTCTAGGTCTTCATATATCAAATTTTCTCTTTATTTTTGTCAGTTACAGTTGACATTCAGTATTATTTTACATTAGTTTCAGGTGTACAGCATAGTGGTTAGACATTTATATAATTTATGCAGTGATCCTGCAATTAGTAATCAAAACATCATGGTACTGGCATAAAAACAGACACATAGAGAGCTCAGAAATAACCCCATGCCTATATAGCCATTTAATCTGTGACAAAGGAGGCAAGAATATACAGTGGGGTAAAAACAGTCTATTTAATCAACAGTGTTGGGGAAAACTCGACCACCTTCTCATTATATACAAAAATAAACTCAAAGTGGATGAAAGACTTAAATGTACGACCCCAAGCCATAAAACTCCTAGAAGAAAACATAGGCAGTAAACTCCCTGATATTGCTCTTAGTAATATCAGATTTTCTTAAAGTTAGAGCTCTTTAAAAGGGGACGACCGCTTTCACAAATACTAATTTCACAAATACTAATTTAGTACCTGGTATGTCCCAGGCCATGTGTTGAATCCTGAGAAGCGAGTTGGAAATAAGAACAACACATCCCTGCCCTTACCAAGTTTGCAGTTTCATTGAGGTGACAACAATTTACCAATAAGGGCATGTAAGAACCTTGGGGGTGTTTCCAGGAGGGACTGATGTGGAAGCTGAGATGGGAGGAACCCTAAAAGCTGGTCCAGCTACACTGTGTGTGTGGCAGGGCATGAGGATGGGGACACAAAGGAGGGCCACGTGAGGTGGCTGTGCAGAAGATGGAGAAAGTCCTTATGGGAAGAGAGAAAGCATCAGAAAATTAAAAGGCAGTCCTTATGGCTTGCCTTATATAAGTGAGGCTATAAGACAGGATAAGGCTGGGAGAATGGGCAGGGTTAGGCATAAAAAGCACTCTGAGATGTGAAAGATAGACTCATATATACTCGTAGGGCTTTCAAGGATTTTAAGCAGGGCACTGAGATGATCAGACTCACCCTTTGTAAAGATGTCTGGAAATTCATGTGCACAGCGGACGGGAGATACTGGAGGGAGGAGCCCTCAGGGGGCGGCTCGTAGAGGTAGCTCAGGCAGAGTGTGACTGACCGGCACGAGCCAAGGTCTCTGCCGCAGCAATAACGTCTGTCTCTGCCTCTTCTCAGGGCTTCCAGGGCAGCGGCTGAGGAGACCTTACCAAGGAGCATCACGCAGTAGATGCTGAAACATCGCACTCCGGAATAAGAAGCAGTAACATGGCAGCACCTGTGTGAAAGGAATTAAAAACCAACAGACTCTTTTCGAAAGGAACAATGTCCAAGAAAGGGCGAAATAAGGGCGAGAAGCCCGAGGCGCTCATTGTCGCCCTTCAAGCTGCCAATGAAGACCTCAGGACCAAGCTCACAGACATCCAGATAGAGCTGCATCAAGAGAAGTCCAAGGTGAGTGAGACTCCCTGAGGCCACGGCCTGGAGAGTGGCCCTGCCTGCTCTGCCTGCTGGCTCCCATCAGGGGGCTTCTTTCTGCCAGTTCTCAGAGAGCAACAGCCCCTGTACGGATGGAGGCTCTCTTGTGTGTGGCAGGAGACAGTTGAGCACAGGACGCGCAGAAGATGAGAATCATATATATGCTCATGAGGCTGATGTCTGCCTCCTCGGGGAGCCTGTTCAAGAAACCAGATAATAAAAATTGAGGCAGTTAACCCCCACGCCACTACCTTCCCAGGACGCTTAATAGTTGTGTGAACTTGGGCAGGTTCCACTCTTGCCCTCTGAGTTAATCCCCCTTCAGCATCTAGAGCAGACTTTCTAAACTGCATCACGTCACGTCACTACCCTGCTCAAAACCCTTCAGTGGCTTCTACCTCTCTTGGAATGACAGGACTTTTCCTTTCACTACAGGGTAGTCTGACTCCTCCCCCACTGCCCTCCCCCCTCAGTCACTCTGCTCCAGCCTCTTTGCTGGGTCAACAAAGAGGCCGGTCACATTTAGGACCTTTGCTGTTGCTCTTCCTGGCCACCTCCTTCAGGTGTCAGCTGCAGCGCCATTCATCTGACCACAGTCTCTAACACAGAGCACCTCCTGCACCCAGTTACTCCCCGTGGCCTGACTGTCCTTGATCCATTTTATAGAAAATTATTTATTGATTTTATTGACTTATCCCTCCCCCATCAAATGCGATCTCTGTGAAAGCAGAGATTTACCTTGCACCTGAATCTCTCTAAAGCCCAAGTAAATGTCCAGAGCTGAAAAAGTTCAACGTAAGTTTGTAAAATGAGCTGAGGGACGAATGAAAGGTGATTCGTTCCTTATACTTTAGCTTCTTCATCAGTAACATGCTGCTATCTCACAGAGCTGGGATGGGGTTTAAATTATACAAATAAATAAACTAGTTATGAGGATTAAATGAGAAAACTCACAGCAAGGCTCAGAGAGCTGCCTGGCACATAGGAAACATCAAATTGTTAGTCATAATATTCTTTCTAATATGGTCTGCACTTGAATTGGTTGCTCACTAGAGTTAGGAAAGTCTCTCCACTTCCCTGACTCTCATCTCTTAAATGACTTGCTAACATTTATCTCACCAGAATGACATGGATATCAAACAGGGTCATGGATAGGAGAGCATCTTGAAATGCCAGACATGCGTGAGACATTTTTGCTCCCTGCAAACCTGAGACAACCATGTCGGCACTAAGTTGCCTTATCTTGATAATTCTTTGTATAGTAAGAGCGTATTCTTGACCAAGCTATATGTCACAAAGCAATAAATATTCATATTCTGTTTTATCTATCTCTTCTTCCTTGACATTACTATTAAACTTTAGTTATTTCCCCCCAAACCTGTCTCTCCTGGTTTCAGCCATAATAAAGCTTAGATCTGCCCAAGTCCCTTGCCTCTTATCTCAGCCAAACAAACCTTCACCTTGGGTAAACAGACTCCAATGTAAAGTTTGTGAAGGAAACTTTTTAGTTTTCATGAAGCTGAAAGGAACATGATGTTGTGTAAAAACAAAACAACAAAACAAAAAAAAACATTTGCTTGAGAGTCAGAAGACCAGGACGTTGTCTTTCTCTCTCCTCAGGGACAAATTTAAGTGTCTCAGTGTCTCGATCTGTAATTCAGGTGACTGAATCTGTGTCTCCATATGTGTGTCCCTCAGGCGTCACTGCATTAGATAACCTGTGGGAACTTATTAAAAATTGATATCGCTGGGCCCACCATCTGAGGATTCTGATAAAATAGGTGTGGTGACGACCTATTTTAGGACTGGCAGTTCTAACAAAAGTGCGGGCAGTCCCTCTGCAGGGGGTTCCCCGCCTCCTGTTGTCAAAGGCTCCCCTCTAAGGTTCCTCTCAGGTCCAGCCAGAGGGTCTAGGAACATTGCATTGGTTTTTTTGTTTGTTTCTTTCTTTTCTCTCTCTCTCTTTTTTTCTTATTAGTTTCAGGTGTACAAAACAATGTACTAGTTATATATTTCACCCCTCACAAAGTGATAACCTCCCTCCCCCAATCTACTGCCCTTCTGACGTCGTTATGTATCTATTATAATTCCATTGACTCTATTCCCTATGCTATCCTCCATATCCCATGACTGTACATATATTGAATTATAGTTGATATACATGTCTTGTTAGGGAGACCGCACCATGGACGGTGTAGATGCTTGACCTGTACTGATACTGCACTGCACACCTGAAGCTGCAGCGGAATAACATTTCATTGGTTTCAACTTTCCCTGGAGCAGCGTAACATTTCAAGAGAGGCAGGCTCCTTTCATTGTAGTAATGACAGGATGACAAACTACCTTGACGGGAGGAAGCCTGTCGGTCTGGAGACTGCTAACCATAAACTGCCACTGATTTATAGGGAACAAAGTCACAAGGTTTCAAAGAGGCAGGACCCTTCACTGCCAGTTTTCCACACATTCAAGTCTTTTAGAAGGGGTAACGTGGGCCTGGGCAGGGCTGCCTGTTTATCCTGGGCCTGGCACCAGTGTCTAAGCCAGGACGGTCAGTGTAATCTCCCCTTCGTCTGACAGGAGACTGGAAGCCAGCCCCTGGAATCAAAGCGCACTGCCTTTATCCTCCCCTCCACAGGCTGCCTCGCTGTCTTCCTCTCCTTGGTCGTTAATTACAAGCCTAGCACAGGGACTAACGCAAAGCCTCACCGCCTGTCAGCAGCCTTCCCTGAAGAACAAAGGGAATTCAGAGGGCAAACAAGTCATAAAGCAGTTTTATTAAAATTAATATGATTGCGTTTCCAAAGGCCTAGGCTTTCCGAGAGAATATGAACCATGCCAAGGTATGAATTCACACTCTCAGTTTGGATGACAAAATGATGATTTAGCCACAGGGAGTAGACTAGTTAAGAGAGTAGGAACCTTTGGGGCAATGGGACATTACTTATTTTTCCAGAAAGACAAAGCATCCCGTTGACGTTTACAGAACACATCGTGTAGCGAGCAGAGTCATAAACGCTTTGGGCTGATAACAGAAATAGCTGCTGCACTTGATTGAATGTTTACTATCTGTCACACACTGTAACGAGCACTTTTCCATCCTGACATAATCCCAGCTCTTTTGGTTAGCACCTGAGTGACCTTGAGCAGGTTACAGAATCCCGTGGTGTTTTTCTTTTCTCGTCTGTCAAATGGGGTAATAGGAGTGTCTGCTTCATAAAGGTGTGTGTGTGCGTGTAAGTTTTTGAGCAGTTAGTTTGTGTCAAGCATGTTAGGTGTTTTAATTCATTATCTCATTTCCTCCTCACTCCCACACTCTGAGGGAGGCACTATTGTTATCTCCATTTTGCAGATGAGGAAACTGAGGCTCAGCGAGGTAAAGTATTACCTCTGTGAGGTAATTCACACAGTCACATGATAGTAATGGCAGAGCTGGTTCTTCAGCTCTCCTCTCTTCACCAAAGTCTAGGCTCTTATTTTTTTGATGTGTTTTCCTCCCTGTTTTATTGAGATATAATTGACGTATAGCACCGTATAAATTTAAGATGTGCAACATAATGATTTGATACATGTGTATATTGCAAAATGATCACCACAATAAGTCTAGTTAACATTCATCACCACACATAGTTAATTTTTTTTTCTTGTAATGAGACTTGTAAAATCTATCTTTGCAACTTTCAGATACACAATATAGTATTATTAACTATAGTCACCATTTGGTACATTACATCCCCAGGACTTATTTAGCATAACTGGAAGTTTGTATCTTATGATGCCCTTCACCCATTTACCCCACCCCTTACCTTTCACCTCTGGCAACCACAAATGTGATCTCTGTTTCTATGAGTTTGGTTTTTTAGATTCCGTATATAAATGAGATTCTCTGTCTGACTTAATTCACTTACCACAATGCCCTCACGGTTCATCCATGTTGTTACAAAAGGCAGAATGTCCTTCCTTTTTCTGGCTGAGTAATGTTCCACCATAATATGCACGCATATATGCACGCATACGCATGTATAGACTACTTTTTCTTTATCCATTCATCCATCAGTGGACACAGGTTGTTTCCATGCCTTGCAAAGCCTATGCTCTTAAAAACTGTGAAGCTCTGGAAGAACCTGCAAACTGGGCAGTGGACAGAACGTTAGAACTTTTCTTTCCATTATTATGGGAATTTGAAATGGAGAAACAAGTGGTAGGGGGTATGGGTACATACCCAAAGGTGGGATGCAAATTTCTTGCTTTTTGTGCCTTTAGTTTTGTTTTCAGGAAGTGTAAGTGGCTAAAAACAAGCAATGAAAAAACAGAATCCTTCCCCGGGTTGTCTAAAATGTCCCTTGTAAGTGGCCTTCCTCTGGTGGCACCTGTTCCCTCCTTCACATCTCCTGTTTGAGAGTTAATGAAAATCCCACCCTCCTGTGAGTTTAGATCTCCAGCAACATCCAGTGCAGATAATCCACACCAAAGCTTTGGTTAGCTTGTCTTGCCTTGATAACCTCTCAACCTTCATAACCCCTTCTTACCTTTGACTGGGCTGCCTAATGTTTAATCCTAGATTTCTAAGGCCACGTTTAAAACTCAAATCACCACCATCTTTATCTTGGCAGAATTTACGCGTGCACTGGCATTTTGCAAATGCCAGGCTAGAATTAGGACAGAAGAGAAAAATATAACGTGAGGCCTGTGTGAGGTAGTCATGAATTTTCTTCCTTTTGTCATAGCCTAAGCTCTCCCCACTAGGATTAAATTTTCCTAATGATTATTTTGTTCAGAAAACCTCACGGGGAGAAGGGATTTGGGAGCTGTGTCATTCAGATCTGTGTTCAGTGCTCACCCCTTTGCCCTGTCCCACTCCCACTGTCTGTGTACACACCATCCAAGTGTCTTCCAAGTTAAGATTAGATTTCACCACGTCAGGGAATTCATCACATCCCGAGGAAACCCAATTTTACCTTGAAACATCTATTTCTATT